AAACGGGGTTCCGGTCCATGCGATGCCCGGAGGAGGCCGGTCGGTGTCAGCGGGCATCACATCGTACGGGTCAGTTTTCAGAATATCACCTGGCTTTGGCTTGCTCGGGTTTTCTTTTTCCACCTTCGACGACAAGCATCGGATCGATACGCTGGAAAAAAACCATTACGTTCAAGAAGCTTATTCACTTTCTATCAATGTTTTCATTTCCTGAAACAAAAACTTACAAGAACATGAAAAAGTGCGGACGATTCGTAACCAAAAGTAATAAGCCTTTTTTAAAGTAAGTTTAAAGGGGTCACAAAAAATGACTTTAAGTTAAAATCGTAAACATTAAAAAATTTTCATTTCACTGTTTTGATTTTTTTATCATGGAAGTAAAGTGCTGATCACTGTAGATTCCAGAGCAAAAACCCCAACGAATCTTACATTCTAACCAGCAAACCATCTTCAGGATGGTCAAACTTGAACTTCTTTTCGACGACGAGCGTTAATTGGCACCGGATTCACGGATTGGTTTGGAAACTGGAAGGAAAGTATGGAAATTCTATAACACGGGTATCATATGGATAAGTAGAGTTACGCAAAACGCCAGTGGCTAGGGGAAAGAATTATGAACCTACTGTAATGTGACGGCTGCGGCCACGATGACCTAAACTCCATGTTTTTCAGGTGCCTTCATCTTGCACCGCGCTCGTTCCGTAGACTGCTTCAAAACGTTCATCGTCATCAATCTGAATCTTCAATGGATGGTTTTGCGAACACCGAACACTTCACAACACAGAAGTAGTTGTGAGGATGAGTTCCACTGCGTTGTGGCTCCATTTATACGCTCGTTTAAACATCACTCACGTACCGACATTCTGTTTTGTCAAATTTGTATTCACTCATTGCAATGTACCAATCTCAACGCCTATGATTTGTGTGAAATACGATACGAGTATTGTTTGTTTTATAAAAAAAATCAATTTATGAACATCTGCAATCGTCGTGATGTCAGTCTTCCTTAGAGTTCCAAGATTGGCACGCTTCTTTCAAAAAGATTATGGTGAAGTGATAATCGTACATTGTTGTGTAACTAGCCAATAGTATAACTATTATATCTACAGCTGAATGACTACGACAACGTACTGTGATTTCCCACTAGGCGGCCCCCATTTTCATATCATGGAAAAACGAAAGGCGAGTGACGTGAACGAGGTTTGAAATCTCACAGTCCGCTGACCTCGGATCACATGCTCCGTCGACTCAGCCATCCCAAGTTTGACTAAGACGACAGAAACTCTATGATGATGATGAACATATGCAAATTAGACCACGGTTTCCGGTTTATAATTAACCCAGGAGATAAGATCGATGGCAAAACAATTGCTTGAATCAAGCACAGATGAAGTCATGAATGTAAAAAGTAAAAACTCAGAAGAATACAGTTAGAGTGCCGTAAATAACGTAAATTGATTAAGCCCGCTTACATTTTAGCCGTAGTGAGAGTGCAAATTCGTGACAGGCGACAGGCACATTGTAAAGCCATTGTGCCTAAAAAATAATTTTATTATACCACTGCGGAACATATATTTAAGTCTATGAAATGAGCTACCAAAGTTTTCAAGTCCCTAATATATAAATATAATCGGATAATTTATTAACCTATACGCAACCAGTTCAATCGAGACACCAGAGAAATGGGTGTCTGTCGATATGTCACAGTTGATATGCACATTATTTTGCTGGTCATGCCACAGTACATTAAACGGTGCCAGTATAGGTTTCCTCTTGTCCCACAGGGTAAGCCGC